ATGCAAAATAAATCGTAAATCAACTTATTGGCGACTAATAACATTTCTTTGTTTTTAAACAAGCTAACATTACCATTGCAACTTCTAGTGATACATAGAGTGTTGTAAAAAAAGCCGTTTTAATTCCTCAATAAACTATATTTTATATGACACAAAAATGACGTTATGGCTATTCAAATACCCAAATTCCGTCTATGTGGAACTTTATCCTACCTCCATTAGATCATCAAAAAATGTTTTTTCTAATTGAGTTGACTGTTGACACATTTGTTTTTCCTATTTTTGGATTTTTTAAAAATATGTAATAATTTTGTTCTGAGGCGCTCGCATATTTGTTCAATACTTCTAACGRATCGTATTTTTTAAATTTTTATAGTTTTATCTATTTTTTCATCTATTTTACAGTTCACAAAACTCTTATTGATTATTATTTACACATTTGGAGTGAAATAGTTTTTCCATGMKCWACTATTATRACACAAAAMATGTATTTCACTTTTTAAGTATAGTTATAAAAAAATATTTTGTTACAAATATATATTTTTAGAGCAGAAAAAAATAAGCTTTTCAAAATTGCCATAGCCGCCTATGATTTCCATTTAAAAAAATACAAGTTTATCTTATTACGGCTAAACTAATAACTGAAAAAAATAGTTAACTAAATTATTAAATTCCTCGTAAAAAAGTGCCTGTATAATGTCTTTATTTCAAATCCGTATCTTCTATAATAACGAAGATATAAATTTTTTAGATTTCGCCAAAATGTCAACTTTTGTCTATAAGTCGAAAACAAAAGACGATAGCGGGATGCGGTTTTAACCAATATTATTTTCTCAAAAAATGAGCCCCAGAATGTATCACTCGTTTTTAGTTAAACCTCTTAGTTTCGGAGATTCCCTATTCGGACATCCAAAATGCAGCACCCTGTACATGTTACAAATTCTTAAAAGATCATTTAGAGGAGAATTAAACAGATAATAATTGTGTGCAAACGAAATTTTGAATAATTGGTTTGATCTACTATTATACTGTGGAACGTGAAAATTAATTAAATTTACTATTGAAGAATCATTAATCAAATTATTTAAAAGTTTATAAACAAAACATAAAGCCTGATATCTTCTTCTAATTTCAAGTGTAGGAAGAGACAAATAATTTAATGAAATATTGTAATTATCTTGCACATAATAAGGCAGCAACCATTTTATATATTTAAAAAACTTAAACTGTATTGCTTCAAGCCTACCAACATGAATTTTGTAATGCGGATTCCAGATTATCGAATGGAATTAAAATTTCTAAAATCACGACAATAACGTTTTATGCAGCCAAGTGCCTTAATAGCTCTACAAATGATAAATTCAAGGTGTTGAAGAAAAGTTAATTTACTATCAAGTAATATACTTAAATCTCTCACAGACTGTTTTACTGTAATTTTTGTACTATTAATAAAATAATTCGGTAGGGTTGGAGAGACACTTTTCAACATTTAAAAACATTTTGTTATTTGCACACCAGTCTTGTAACTTATTTAAATCGGATTGTAGACTGACATATCACGAGATTCCGAAACCTTTCTAAATATCTTAAGATTATCACTATCAAAATTACATCCTATATCATTAATAAAAATAATGAAAAGAAGTGGACCCAAAACAGATCCCTGTGGTACACATTTAAAAAAATCAAATGACAAGTGACACCCAACCACTTCAAACTTTTTAATTAAAACCTCGTTCAACTTTTAAATTACCCCCGAAATTTTGTGCATAGCCAACTACTTCCAAAGTCCGGCTTAGTCAAATCAAGCACTCGGGCCGAATCAAAACGATAACAAAACACAATCGATAATAACAATAATTGTTGCGTTTGTTTGCCGATGATAACCGAGACTCTCTCTTCGTGTATTTCCGGCGAAAGCGCGCCGGTTTGAGAATTCCGGTTTTCCAGTAACGGCGCGCTGCTCTGTTAAGGTGGATCGTAGTAACCTGTGCCGTGTGGTGACGCGTCAAACAATCAACATACGTTATAATATAGTATTTTTTCGGAAAAAAGTTTGTGACAAGTGAGCATCGCAATGTTTTGATTTGTTTATTGTTTGTTAACAATGGATTCCAACGCACTCTTCGTCGTTTTTTTGATTGGAGTCGTCTTTGCGCAAGGTAAGGCCGAGTTGAATCAACTTGGAAGATGCGTGATTTGAGTCAAGGTCGCGATGGGCTTTTGTTTCGAATTTTTTTTGTGGGGGGAGACCGGTTTATAGGGGCAGGTGGGTCTTTGTTACTTGGGAAACAGGTGGTTGGGGGATTATGGGATTCAAAGGGTGGTAGACAGGTACAGGGATGGACTTGGGATTAATTTCCTCACTTTTCAAACAAGACATTGTAATTTATGTTGGCAACGATGTTTACTTAACCTAATTTTGCGACATAACATTATGACATATTTTATTGTCATCAACTTAAAATTTTATTATAAACACTAATGAATTATGATGTACCGGAAATTAATTTTAGTACCAACCTCCGATCATAAAAGTCACTATTTGTTTTTACCAACTTTAAAAATAACCAAACTGGACTGAAAATATTTATAATTTATCTTATCTGATTCTTTTCAAAGATAAGATAAAAAGTAGAGTGAAAGTATTTTTTAAATGATGTTTGTTGCGGCTTAATTGAAAAACTCAATTTAATTAATTAAAGCTCGATTTTACTTTTATTCATGTTCATCGCAGCGAATCTTTACTCGAGGAAAGTAAAATACGAAAAAGAAGACTAAAAAATGATTTTAAACTTAATTAACGCTTTTATATTAAGTTTCTTGGTTTTTGCGAGAAATTACAGAGAAAAATGTTTATTTAGTAACGTTTGAACTAGATTTACTTTGGTTCTGATATTAATTATCGGGAAAGCTTTGAACTTTTTTATTTTACCAGAGTTTCTTCCACTGTAATTACTGGGATTGCAAAAATAAGAAAAGCGTCTTTAATTTTTCTCGAATATATCTTTTGGAAGGGCACATTTTCAGTGCCACCCAGTGTATTTTTTCCCCAGACAGCGCTTGTCCCTAGATCGTAGCTTCTAAAATCCCTAGAATTCTCTAAACTACTTACAATAAAAAATCAAAAAATAATATAACAATAAATTGAAATAAATTTTACTAAAGAAATAAAAAAATAAAACACAAGTCAATTAAAACAAATTCAAATAAATGTATATATTTAGATACCTACTTAATTTTTATTTATACTTATAAATTATGGGATTTTATTAATTTTAAATATTCGTCTAAAACATTAAATGAACTGCAATAATAATTAGTAAACTTGGTAACGAGAAAAATGCAAACGGCTTTTAGTGCACTTCCTATCTTGTTCTTTTTTTTTGTCTTTACACATAAAACTACAGAAAATATATTTTTGGTTTTCGCGTTACTATACAGGGTGCTCCGTCTAAACTCCACATTAGAAGTATTGGGAGTTGGAATAATCGTATTTATTTTAAAATTGGTACAGAGCCATAAACCATTAAGTCCCTCTAAATGAAAATATTTTCAAGATGGTGGCACTTCCGGTTGTACCGGAAGTCGGTCTCAACTTTCTTATTTTAAATGGAAAGGTATATTTTTTACTACGTTTTTGGAATAATCTGGATATTTTAAGAGAGTTTTCATCAGCTTTCCCTATACCTAAATTTAGCCGTTTTGGAAATATTTGGAGTTTTTCAAAAATTTTTGGATCTGCACCTTCCACTTTAAAAATCGGTAACTCTGCCATTTTTTAAGATTTTGAATTTGTTTTTTTGGCGTTTGAAAGAGAAAGCTTAGATCCTTTTTCTGGTGTTTTCAAATTTTGAAAAAAAATTAACAAACCATAAGATTTTAAGGTTAGTTTTGTAATAATTCAAATACTTATAACTCAATTTTTTCAAATGAAATACCCCAATTTTCATTTTACTAAATAGAAGAGAATTTAATTGTGCATTGATCTGTATTAAGATTCCCTATACCTAAATTTAATAATTTTCAAGTTATGGACTTTTTTTTAAGACTACAGAAAATTTATTATTATCCACACCCGTTTTCACATAGTTTGCTATGGAAATCAAAAATGTCAAAATTTTCTCTAAACAAACGTCAACAGTAAATTACTATTTGACAAATAGTGCCAAAATATGAAGAATCAAAGTAATGCAAACTTAATTATTATTACCATGCGATCATTATTTAAAGCTAACAAGTGAGAAAAAATTATTTTTGTTTAATGAACATCATAATTTTGTTACACTCTCCATAAATACAAAATAAATTAATTAAATCTAAGTTTGAGTAGCAAATAATTAGTCACTGAGAAACAATTTTGACATTTTTTTTGAAAAACTCCAAATATTTCAAAAACGGCTAAATTTAGGTATAGGGAAAGCTGATGAAAACTCCCTTAAAATAACCCGATTAATCCAAAAACGCAGTAAAAAATATAGATATAATATACACCCTGTATATACTACGCTAACTTGGCGAAGTTACAATATTCATATTAAAAATTTTTGTAATTTTTGAAACTGTGCCAGCAGTGTGAAAAAAAATTGAGATTTTCACTGAAAATGTAAAAAATCCCTAGAACTCGGGAAAAATTCCCTAATCTGGCATCACTGCATCGCACCCACACTTGTCCCATCGTCCCACGTGAACCCATCCCCCGCGTAGTCAGCCCCCTCCCTCCTGCCCCCTGGGGGGTAACAACCTGCCTCCGACCGGCCCAACGAAGCGTAACTGTCGAATGCGCTAGAGCGAGAATGGATTCCTATACAACAGGGCCGGTTTAAGGAGGAGAAAAGTCAGTTTCACCTGGACTTGAGTACGAATCCCACGATATAAATTTCACGCTCAGAAAATTTAAAACAAAGACTTTATTATTATTTTTTTATTCGTTTTTATTTCAAATAAATGATGACTAATGAAAACTACTGTAAATCTGATAATTTCTCAATCCCCACTTTGGGCTAATCTCCAAGTTCAAGTTTCTCCATCATTCTGATAAGAAATGATTTTTAAACGTTTGATAACAACAACAACGTCATAAGTTTGAAATTTCCTTAGATAACTAGATCCCGGTTAAGAAATAAGGTAACATTAGAGTCCGTTAGTTATCCAAGTTTGAGTTTATCCTCCCACCGAGATTAAATCACCGAAATGATTGCATAAACGAGCAAAAAGCCACGTCGATTCTCTTCGAGGAGAATGCAAAAAGCTGCGTCGAAATTTAGTGAGTCGTACATCTCACACGTCGCTAGCAAGGGGACAAAATCCCGGAGTTTAAGATTAGAGTCGCTCCGGGTAACTCCCATACCGGAAGATTGATCAGAGTGTTGTAGTTGTCGAGTTTACTAACAATTGCGGACGGTGTGTTGAGACCAACGGACCGAAACGCAGACGAGATGGATTTTTTGGATTTTTTCCGGTTTTGGGATTTGAAAATGGCGGAAATTAACAAAATCGCACCAGCGCTAACTTTCCTGAATTATTGTAACATTTTTGATAACTATTTTTATAAACATATCTTTGTAAAACACTAAATAAAAAACCGTTTTTATTTTGGAAAAAAAATTTAGTATCATAATCTCAAAAGTGTAAACAATTAATTAAAATATTTTTTGTTTGGCATTGCTCCTTTACAACCTTTAAACATTTATTAATTTATTTCCAAAACTGGTAGTTTACTCGAAATTTTTTTTTAATCCTTTAAGTCAAACATTTTTTTAACAAAAATGTGTAAGTTTTACAAAAAAAAATGCAGAGCAACAATTCTTGTAACAAAGTCGTTGTCTAAAAAAAAATTGTGGTAGGTTTCCATTAAAAAAAAAGTTACTATGTTTATCTCGTAAGTATAAACAATTAATTAATATTAAAAAAAAAATTTGACAGTTTTGCCAGAATAACATCGTTTCCAGACTTTTGAAACACCCTGTATAGAGTGTCTCACGTAAGACTTTCGGGTCTAATATCTTATAAAATTTAAAATGTAGACAACTTAGAAGATTCAATTATTATTAATAAAATTACTTGAAGATAACAAACATAACTTTAATACATATTTTTCCATTTAAAATGAAGTGAAACTATTATTATCTTAGCACTGAAAAATAGTTCTCTACACAAAAAATAACTGAATCACTCGTCTAAATGAGTAGAAATATGTCAATTATGTTGTTTTGGCTTAATTTTTGAAAGAATTTTATCAAAGTTAACTCTAAAAAAATAGTTTAAGTACTATTTTGTACAACCTTGAAAGCATGAGGTAAATTAAGTTAGAACACCTTTTTACGACTTAAGGTAAATTGAGTCAAAAACTCGAAAAATCCGTAATTTTTTCTTGACCAAATAACATTTTATGCACTTTTTTAAGTCTTTAACACCTCTAGAAAAGCAAAAAATGTTAAATGGGTTAATTTTAAAGTTGAATTTTTTTTGGATTTTTGTCGAAATTGTGGTCGATTTTTGGTACCCGGAGCGGTCTATTGCCAATAACTCCGGACTTATTGATAACAACCTTTTATATTTGGTACCGTTGGAAAGAAAATTTAATTTTCTATTGTACACAAAAAAAACAGTATTCTACGATAAATAGTTATCGAGAAAATTTGTGATAATTGTTTTAGAATAATTCTATTACTATTACTCAAAATTAATTGAAGACCAGTGGCGCAGGAAAAGATAGAGTTTAGGGGGTGTTTATCTATCTAAAAAAATGCGCACTTATTTATATATACAGGGGATTAAAAAATATTCTGTTACTTTGCGGATCTATGTTTATTAAGATTTTTTTTGTTTGTTTTAGTCCGTACTACTACCTCCTGAAATATTTCTTTTTTTAACACCCTCTATACATTTCATGCTACTTTTACTTTATTATACTTTATATTACTTATCTTTTGTTTACTTATATCTATTTCACTAATAGACTTATGTAAATCATTTGTATTATTAGCAATAATAACAATAATTAATAAAAAAAAAATTCCTTGATTTTTAATGCAAAACTTACCTTTTATTTATATTACTTTTAACTTACCTTTTGTGTGCTTATATACTATTAACTTTTTCACTATTTTCACTTTTGTAGATACTTGTTTCAAAGTTCGCGCTCTTATACGCCCGCCAT